TTTTTTGTTTGTGTGTTTTTTTAAAAAGCTAAAGTGGATAGAGAGAAATACTTTTAACTCATGGTATATGGAGGGGATTATAATCAATGTAATGAAACAAGTTAATATGAATTGTTGAATGTGAAACTGATGATGTGCCCTGTAAACTTTCACTCAATCCATAATAAAACCTTAAATTAAAAAAAAAGATAATAGAATTTTTCCATGAACTTTTTGAAGCCCCACACCCATATACTGTTATATCAGAAATCGGCTTTGTTAAGTATTATATTTCAAAATAACTGGTTCCTTTGCAATCCTATACATTTCATTTTATTCACCTTAAAAAAATATTCTGAAAAGGGATCCATGAACGACAGGTTACTCAAAGGTTCCATGGCACAAAATACTTAAGAACCTCTGTTCAAAGCCAGAGATCCTTCACTGCTTATAAGTATGACACAGTGGGGAGAACTGAAGCAGTCTGCAGCTTTCTGCTCTGCCATAAAGCAAGATATAAAAAGAGACATCACTGATAATGAGCATTATCTACCGTAACTTCATTATAGTTTCTAATAATAGTCTAGCAAAATTATACAAAATACTAACTTGCAACTTTATATGGACCCAATAACCACCGTAACAGCCACTAATATAGGCAGACAGGTATAAAAATTAACCAATTGACTATGAAATGTCTTATAGAGAAACCAAAGCATTTACATCTTAAGGTAATTGGTAAAAACAAGGTACTATTTACCATCTCTCTTTTGGAAAATTTTTTAGAATTTCTTTAATGATTGGCTGGTAGCAGGCATCCCTCTCTGTTTTCCCAGTTTCACTCCAATCTCTCACAAACTGTTTCAATGTGGATTTTAACTTATCCATGTCAAATGTAGATGCTGGCATAATCTTTCCAAGCCCCTGTTTAAAAAACAGAAATCAATTAGCTTTTGAGAGAGCAACCCATCTTGAATATGGTTAAATAGACATGCTACTAAGGGGCTATATAGGTGGGTTAGTGGAGAAATCACTAGCCTCTCACCTCAAGCAGGGTTCAATGCAGCTTGAGATCCTAAATGAAAAGAGTCTGGTGGTCTCACCTCAATACTCAATAGATTAAGGTCCATTAATCATAAAACCACCATATAATTAAGCAGTCTTTATCAGGAGAGGACCAGAACTGAGCTGCTATGGAGACCGAACATCCTCTCTAAGAGAGGAAAGAAAGTCCCTCCAGGTCATTGATGGGGCAGCATGGAGAGGCTCACACTGGAGTGGCCCAGCTCTTATCTACCCTGTGGATACAAAAAGAGGACTTCAGTTCCTATTACTGCCAGTCCCTTGAGATTTATAAGTGAAATTCACTTCCCAAAGTAAGAGATGAGTATCAGTAGATATAAAATATTAAAAAAATGTTTAACAAGGGAAAGTAATTTTACAGACCTAGTAAAGTTGTTTATGAACATTTAATAGTCACTAAGTCTATATATAAGGAGCTCTGGTAGCGTAGTGGTTACGAATCGGGCTGCGAACCTTAAGGTCAGCGGTTCGAAACTACCAGCTGCTCCGCGGGAGA